AAGGTTCTTTAAAAGTAGCGCGTTGTAGCGCTAACGTACTAGCTCTAACTACTTTTATAAGTGTTTGCTATAGGCGTCTATAGACTACTAGAACTCGCGTAGAGACGCCTTCTAATAACTTAGCTTAGCGTAAGAATAGTCTATCTCTACACAAAGGTAAGTCTCTATACGTGCTAACTTAACCTATTAGGTCTTAGTAAGGCGCTCTACCTTAAGACTAGCCTTAGACTACTAAGAGCGTAGATTAGCTACTAACTAATCTAGCTTATCTACCTCTTTTAAATCTAATATCTTATTATAGAACTAACTCTTTATAATATACTCTAAATAGTAACTAGAAAATACCTCTATAATATAACGTAGGTTGTAAGAATAGTAAGCGCTATAAGAGTTATTAGATATATTAGCGCTAGTACGTAGAACAAGATTAGCGTAATAGTAATAGTAAACTATTAAAGACTTAGTACGCGTAGGTAGTATAGTAAGAATAGAAAGAGAAGAGAGAGTATAATACTATAGAATTATAGATAACACTACTCTTATATAAGAATAACATAGAATAACAAAATACTATACCTAGAAATAGAATAGAGCTTTAGAATAACACTTTAGAAGAAGAGGTAGATGTTATAATTATAGAATTAGAAACAGGGCTAGCTAACTAGAATAGAGAAAATAGTAGGCTAAGCTTAGAGTTATAGAATAAGAGATTACGTATAAAGTTATAGAAATAATTAGAGTTACGTAACGTAGATTAGATAGATTAGAAGAATTAGGACCTAATCTAAAGAATTAGACTCTAATCTAGCTAATCTACTAGAACTAGAGGTCTTAGTACCTAATCTAGCTAAGAAGGCCTATATATATAACTAGAAGAAGCTTACTTCTTATAGCTTCTTATAGTTATTACTTTGTTTATTAAATTGCTATAGAGACTTACAATTTATAGTATTATTACCTCTATCTCTTTGTTACTAAAGATTCTAGCCTAAAGTACACCTCTTACCTTTTCTTATAAAAGTAAGCCTTAGTCTTAGTTAAGAAGATAGCTTATAATACTATATTACTCTATTACCTATATATTACTACGTTAGGCTTATCTATAGAGAATTCTAGTAAGTAAGCGCGTATCTAAAATATAACTCTATACTAATTATAATAATTACTACGCGTATAAACTTTCTAGATTAGACTCTATAGATAAGAACCTAATATATTATAGAACGCCTCTATAATATTACGTTAGGCTTACCTATAGAGAATTTAGTAAAGACTAAATTAGGCTCTATAAGTAAGAACCTAATACGTAGCTAGAAGCCTAGTAGATACAAGGCTAGATCTATTTAGACTACGTGTTATAGCTCTTATAGAAGTTAAACGCTATACTAGTAGAGGTTAGCTTATCTTATAAAGTACTAATATTAGTAGAACGTAGTAATAGTAAGGTCTAGTAAACGTCTCTAATACTTACGTAGTAGTTTACTAAAAACTCTCTATCTCTATTATAATAATACCTAAACTCTTAGTAGTTAGAACTATTTCTAGGTATAGAATAGGCTTCTTACTATTTACTATATTACGAACCGCTCTAGTCTATTTAAGTCTACTACTACTAATCTATTCTTAGTACTAGAAAGTAATAATAGAGTCTATACTCTTAAGCCTATAATTCTAGAATACCTAGACTTAGAATTAGAAGACGCGTAACTTAAAGTACTTATAAGTAACTACGCAGCTCTCTATATTACCTTTTCTAATATCTACTACTAGGTTAAACTCTAGAAACCTAAGAAAAAAGTCTATACTATCTAGGTAGACTAAGATTATTCTAAGAATAATAATACGTAATACGCGCTAGATAAATATATTACTATAACTAATAATATTATTTATAATACTAATAAGTTTCTCTAATAGACTATAGCTAACTCTAAAGATTAGCGTCTAGCTATAATTAGTCTACTTATTATAGTTCGTAACTTTATTCTTAGTTTAAGTAATAAGATAAAGCTTTAATAAGACTTCTAGTTATAGATTAGCGTAAAAGATTACGCTACTATCTCTATATAACTTATAAAGGCTAAGAAAAATACTAAATAATATAAAAAGCTATATAAATCTACTAAACGCTTAGTAGAGGCTAGTAAAAGCGCTAGCTACTATATTATATATAAGTAAATAGAATCTATTATTAAGAAATATAATCTTATACTATCTAACTATAATAGAATAAAGTAGAGTTATAGTAATAAATACGTTAGAATAACTAAGTTATAGCGTAAGCTAGATTTATAAAGCGTAGCGTATAATAAAATAACGTATAAGTATAACTATAAGAAGGCTAAAGCTAATAAATAGTATAAGAAGTATAATAAGAAATATAATAAAGCCTCTAAGTACTATTAAGAGAGAGAAGTCTAAGACTAGAACTATAATAAGCTATAATAGTAATATAAGAAACTTAATACTAATACTAAGTAGAAAACCTAAATACTTATTAATAAAGTCTAGCGCTATAAACTCTAGTACTAACTCTACGCTATTTTATCTTAAGATAATAATTAATTATTCTTATCTTTCTAGAGTATATTACTCTAACGTATAGTTTTACTTATTTAAAGGCCTAGTAGTTATACCTTACGTCTATTACGTAAAGAGGTTCTATAGAATATATATAGACAGATTCTACTATCTATAGAAGCTTATCTAGAATATTCTTAAGAACTATACCTCTTACGCCTTATACTCTAAGTACTCTCTAATATTAGTACTAATATAATAAGTAAAGGTAGCTATAACGTACTTTATTACCAAAAGCCTTATATTACCGAAAGCCTCACGATTTCTTGGCAAGGAAAATCAACGAATATTAACTCGTTTTTCTTAAATAACTAAGCGAAACCTTAATATTTCTCTATAAAAATTTATATATATATTCTTTAGAGTATATTACACCTTATACTAAAGTTGTACTAAGATATATTACGTAATAAAAAAGCTATACGTATTTAGGTAACTTTTAAGAAAAATCTAGTTTACTTCTAGTTAGTACTATTATATCTCTATAATAATATATAAAACTTATAGTATATAGTATTTATAACGTAATAAAGGTTTCTAGAAAATTTCTATAGCGCTAGCTCTTCTAGGTATAGCGTAATAAGAGATAGAAGTT